TACGTCTTTGGGTAACCCGAAGACGAAATCCATTGAGATGGATTCCCAGCACTCAGCCGGAACCGGTAGAGGCTGTAAAGGTGCACGCAGTGAAGGACTTGACTTCACTCGTTGACAGACTTCGCACGCGCGAACATACTTTCGCACAAACTGATACTGGCGGGGCCAGTAAAAGTCTCGACTCACCGTGAGATATGTTTTCTCCCGGCCACGATGTCCTCCTATAGGAGCATCGTGATACTCGAACATGATCCGCAAACGCAGATCAGTGTCATCTGGAATGACAACACGTGGTGTGTCACCAGAAACGGCTGTATAATACAGTAAACCGTTACGAGTAGTGTATCGATCTGATGCAGATCGATACGCAGACGACAAACGTTTCGAAGATTCTCGAGATGGTAGTGAGAGATGTGTCAACAACTCCACAATCTCACCATCTTGGGCGTATGCCCGCCTCACATCATCATACAACGTTGAAGATAGTACTGAGGACGTCATAACCGCAACAGTGACTGTCTCACTGTTGGGTTTCACGACAGGTTCAAAGTCGGTCCGGCGTGAGAGTGCATCAGCGACGACATTAAGTCGTCCTGGTTTGTACTCGACCGTAAAGTTGTAATCTGAAAAGAATGACAACCACCGCGCCATTCGTTGTGGAAGGTGCGGGCTACTGCCGTGCGTAATGACGCATGGTCAGTGTAAACAATGAAGGGTCTATCTCCTAATAGATAGACTCTGAACTTCGCGAGTGCATACTTCATGGCAAAGAGTTTCTTGTCATGCACTGGATAGTTCCGCTCAGCTGGTTGCAGCTGACGCGACTGATAGCAGACGACGCGTTCAATGCCTTCAAGATCGTACTGCATTAATGCACAGCCGATTGTGAAATCGCTGGCGTCACAGACCACATGAAATGGACTGTCCTGATCGGCTATTGCTAGTACTGGGGATTGTATCAAGCTCTGCTTGATACCATCAAAGGAGCGCTGACATTCAGCGTTCCATAACCACCTCTCGTTCTTTTTCAACAAACGAGAGAGGTGCACAGTCATCTCGGCGTAATTGAGTGAATACTTATGCAAATACGCCGCTAGCCCAAGGAATTTTAGAAGACCTTTGACATAAACTGGCACAGGCCAGTCGGTGATCGCCTTGATCTTTTGGGGTCAGGACGTACACCGTTCTTACCAACGATGCACCCAAGAAGTGGTATTTCGCTTGCTGCAAATATACACTTCTTGAGGTTTGCATACAATTGATGCTTTCGCATGATTGTAAGAACCTGTTGGACATGGTACATGTGAACCTCAACGTCCGACTTTCCATCCATAGCCCGACTATGGATGAATACTTCGTCGAAATAACTCGGCGCGAATTCTCGTACTGGTATCAACAGATGTGATACACATTTGTTGAACGTGGCAGGGGCATTACTAAGCCCTTGTGGCATAGCTAGCCATTCCCAGAGCATGCCGCTAGGCGTGCTCACTGCGGTATAGGTTACATCCTGTTCTAGCATAAGGATTTGAAAGAAGCCATCCATCAAATCCATGGACGAAAAGATGGTACTCTTTGACATGCCATCAATAATTACGTCCTTCCTTGGTATCGGCGTCTGAGCCGGTACCGTTGCAGCATTCAACTTGTTAAATGCATGCACTATCCGCCACCCTCCTGTTGCTTTTCGCACACAGAAGGTCGGAGAGCTATGTGGGGAAGTTGATTCCCTCATATGGCCCGCAGCTAAACGATCGGCAAAGAACTTGTCGATCGCAAGTACTTGTTCACGAGGCAGTGGCCACTGCTTCATGACACAATACTTCGAGCCTGGTTTAAGCTCGACCTCGTGTCGAATACCTTTATCCTTCGGCAATTTGAACGGAACAGTTTCAGGGAATACATCCTTGAATTCAACCAAATCTTCATAGAGAGGATTTGTCTTAAGCGGTTCCCACGATTGGGAGTCATATCGCTCAACTCGTGTCTTTTCATCTAGGACACTCTCGTCCATCGATGAACTAATGAGAACTCTCTCGTTCTCAGTGAACACTGTTGCTGACCTTGTGTCGGCTACACACTCGTCGTCAGCGACGAGTACGCAGATCTGCTTGACTTTGGCACTACGCAGATCACGCAAGAACCTTTTATGTTCGAGCGTTGGCAACTGAGTGATCTCCGAAGTCAACTTCGGAGGCGCAATCAGATCAAGTGTTTAAGCGCCTACGCTTGATCCATCATTGACTAGGACATTCAATGTCTCTTTCATTTCCTGGGGACTTATTCCCTCAGGCCTCGAAGGACTTATTCCTTCGGCTTCCCGGGGACTTATTCCCGCGGGTTTCGGGGAACTTATTTCCGCCGTATTTGTAATCTTGGGACTTATTCCCTTTACTTCCTCTAGCTGGGGTTGCGCAATTACAGCGAGATCCTCTACGTAAGACTCTCCAGTCGATCTAGGATTATCGTTTCGCTTAACCTGACCGATCGATTGTTTCTCTTCTAGATGTTCCCCGCTAAGGATACATCTTTGTCCCGGTCCACTCGACTTATTCGAGTGGTGGACCTTCGGCGCAACCTGTGTTTCCTCACAGCCGCCGGAACTTTGCTCCGAAGTGTAACCGTTTGTTACACTAAGGTTTTGTGTAGTCGTACTAACGACCGTACCACAAGTGAGGCCATCGCACTCACTCGTAGTACATTCACACGCTTGTGGACGCTCCAAAACGTTCATCAGATGGCCATCTGATGAACAAGCGGCAGGCATCGTTACTGTTCGATGTTGCCAGTTTACCCGTGGTTCGTACCTTCTGAGCCACGGTATTCCAAGGATGACATCAAATTTGTCATCCAAATCCAATACGATAAAGTCATCGTCATATTGGGTATTTTCTAGCGTATAGTGGATCTTCACTATACGCTTCATGACGGTTACGGATGCGCTTGTCGCAAGACGTACCGGCATCCTCGTAGGAGGTGTGTCACATTCACTGAACTTTAAGTGACCATCTTTTAGCGATTGGCGTCACACAAAATTGTTGAACGCCCCACAATCGACTTGAGCTCGAAGGGACAACTTATTGGTCACTTCGAGTTTCAAGGTAATGAGTGAGATCTCATTACCTAGAGCAGCAACGCACAACGTTTGTGTGTTGGGAGCAACCTTCATCAAGAGGCCTACAAATTCTCTTGACGTTGCTGGACCAGTAGGGTGCTCCGCACCTACTGATCCTGTCCGTTTTTTGACGGTCCATCCCGTTGTTGCGTCTTTGCACCAACAGCGGACCCGCGTCCCTGCCCCTTTCTCATGGGTGGACGGTCACTACGCCCAGTGTCGCGAGACACTGGACGAGGGGCACTACACTCGTAAGCGTAGTGTCCTGTATTTTGACATCTGTTGCATCTCTGCAACTTCTTGTAGCCTGTAGAGCGAGCCTTCTCGCTCTCTACATAACAGAGTTCCATCGGATCTGGACCTCCGCTGTCATATCGTCTCGGTTGACGATAAGATGTCGAGCTGGCGCGAGCCTGCCTCAGACTGAAGTCTTCCTGCTCCGCAATGGAAATGGCTTGTTCTAGTGAATCTAGTTCAAGCCGGAACAGGTGAGTCTTGACGGGACCATCCGCAAGACCCTGCATGAACACCAAACCAACGTGTGTTCATCCACCGGATTGGAACTTATACTACTCGTAAGATGTCGTATATGTTGCGCGTAAGCGTGCACATCACGCTTACCCTGCTTAAGCTTCAAGAGTTCGGTTCGAGCTCTGAACTCAGCTCTAGGCGGTTCAAACGTTTGTCTGAGCCGCGACTTGAAGACTTATAACGACCGAAACTCATATGGGTCGTGCAACTTGAGCCCCAGTGCCCAAGCCTTGGCACGTCCTGCCAGATTTGACTGGGCAAATGCAACTTGCACTTCCCCGTCGTCGATGCGACGCGCCCTTATGGCTTCATCCGATTCGACGAACCATCTCAAGAGGGAGTCCTCTTCGACTCCCCTATACTTGGAGATGTCAATCTTCAAGGTCTCGGGTCGACGCGAGTGCATCGACCCACCAGCAGCGGCCTGCTGCTGTCTCAACAGTTCAAACTGTTGAACACCCTGTTCTCTCAACAACTCTGCTTGTTGAGAACTTTGTTGGTGAAGCAAGGCTACTTTCTCGCGTTCTGCGTCAAGTTCATTTTGAATGAACTTGGCGATAGTAGCATGTTGGGCATCTCTATTTTTGAGAGCCTCTAGCATGACGCTAACAGCATGGATGCCCATGGTTGAACCCATCCATTCAACCGCATCCGATTAGACATCGCTCAAATGTGAGTAGCCGTCACGCGTAGCGTGAAAGCTTTGGTCATCTTCATCATCCAACATATTCATGTTAGATGTGAACGTGGTCCTTGGACGGACTACGAAGTGCTACCAGGTGTAACGGGGCACCCTGAAGCTTGTACTGATGACATTACAAGCTACTTATTCTGATGACAGAATAAGGCGGTGCCTCGGAACTTCACGTATACTCGTAAGTGCAGAGGAAGACGGTAAGAAGAAGCGAGTACTTGGTTAAAGTAAAAAGTAGAACTGTATTTATAATAGTTAATGGCTGCAATAAATCACTATTTATCCTCATCTAACTATTTCTGAATACAAATGTGTAAATCAACTATCTGCTCACCACTCATTGCGTGCGTCTGTCGTGCGCGTCTTCGTTGGTTGATATAATGGCCTATATCAACCAATGAGGAACTACTCGTAAGTGCTGCAGAATATTGTCCTTATGACAATATTCTGAGAATATAACTCTTATCGTAATATTCTATTAACAATTTCTTATAAATTGTTAAGCAACGATTCACCCCGTTACATCACCCCCCCTTAACCATCAGTCACTTTAGTGACTGATTGACTAAATGGATACTCGTCCCAAATCATTTGGGACGGGGTTTGCACTTGTTGGTCCGAGTCCACTTTCCAACAGTTCATCGCATGGTTATCAAGCCCATGCGATGCGCGAGCAAGGCCGCCGAGAGCGCGTCCGCACGTCTCTGTGCGGATGCTGAAGCAGAAACCGCAGCAACTGATGTCTTATCGGTCGCTGAAGCGACCCAGCCTGTGTCACCTGGTGATGCAGGCGCTGGTCATGAAGACACTCATGTCTTCACAGAGTATGAGCTCGGTGTCTCATACTCTCCCGATACGGACGGAAGACGGATCCGTATCGACGGCGATCGAATCCGATCCAAGCGTGGCATGGATGATGCTATGCGTCGTAGCATCTTTGTTTCATCTGATGAATCAGATGAACCATCGCCGAAGCGAAGGCGCTCGAGGTCGCGAGACTCGGGCGCTAACAGTGGTGTCGGTTCTCCTATGGACACCACTTCGCAACGAGGTGCCAGTCCTTCTGTCGGCACATCGCAGGAAGAGCGGGACCGCAATGTCTTGCGTCTCCCTCCCGAGAAGAATGCATGGATGCCTCCTAAATCCGTCATGGATCACTTGTCGGCGACGATGAGGGATCGTCATAGAACACGATTGTTCGATTCGTCAAGGATCTATCACCTTGACCCCAATGCGAAAGACTGTCACAGTGAACATGAGTTCTTTATCGATGCTTTCTTTAGACATCGATGGTACAGTGGGAATTACAAGCGTGATGGTCCCTCACTACTTCAAGCGTGGAACGCCTACATCCATAACCTTGGGGATGTAGGTCGTGACGCTTGGAACGACAGACTTATCAAAGCTCGTGATAAGTTTGAAAAGGGAACCCCGATAGGTGCACGCTACAAGCTGCATCTTCTGTCAAGGGAGAAGGGATTACCCTGCCTCTCTTGGGGAGACTCGTGCCCATGTTGTGTGAACAACTCTGCACGAGCACATAAGGAGGCTTACCTCCTTACCAGCCCGTGGTGGCGCGTACGTGTCTCTAGTGATCTCTACGAAGGGATTGAAAACCCGTGAGATGTACGAAGGGATTGACAACCTGAAATCCCTTTACGACCGTGCCGGGAAGACTTTCTCCGGCGGTCCTTCTGCGGCACAGGATGTGCCGCGTCGTACTGCTCAACCAGACCCAGTAAGTCAACCATCTGTTGGGAGCGGGGCTCCCAAGTATCCCAGGACGGGGGATAGCCGCGCCACCGGACGAGGTAACTCGTCCGACATCCGTTCACATCGCGGTGGTTCAACAGCTACTCAACTAGATAGCGCTGGCCACCGCGAGAGTCCTCTAATGGGGGTGGAGGAGGAGGAAAGACGCTCTCTACACGATCATGGGGATTCGTGTGTTCCCGAGAGCCTCTTTGATCGCGTAACGCAAGGGTTACGCGGCGATCTCGAACATGAGCGGGACAGGCGTCTCCAACTTGCGGACACTGTCTTGAAGCATCGAGCTGAGTTTGCCTTTTCTCAGCTTGAGAACGAGAGAGCTCTGACGTCTCTGCGTGACGAGCTCAGGGTAGCTCGTGAGGATGTTGAGCGGTCTCGGGCTGAGATAACTGCTTTTCATACCCTTGTCGATGCCCACCATCGGGAGCACAAGGCTCTCTACGAGATGCTTGAGCGCAAGGGCGTTCTTCATCGGAAGAAGCAGCTTACTGATGGTACGGCTTAAGCCGACCAACGTAAAACGTGGGATGCGTTCGCATCTTACGTGGCAGTTCGATCGTGTATGCATTGCCTAGGCGATACAATACACGAAATGGGCCGATGTGCTTGGGTAGTAGTTTACTGCTACCCAAGTTAGTCACTACGTGCTTTGGTAGGTTAACCGTAGACAGTAGGACTAAGTCACCTTTATTAAATAAAAGAGCGTTTGACCTTCCATTCATGTCTGCGTTTTGCTTTGCTTATCCACCGCTTCGGCGATGGAGTCTTGAACAAACGGACTACCTTTTCACGAGCCCGTATAAACTCATCTGATGACTCGTTAGCTTCAGTGCGCTGTGAGTGCACTGCAGCAACATCAACTTTTTCTTCAGTGAGGGCTTCCGCACTCTCACTGGCATCATCTTCTTCGATATCGATGTTATCGATATCGGCATCAAACGCAATGACTTCTTCGTCAGAGCGTGATGAGCGTGAACCAATTCGGTTTTTGCTCGCGCGAGTCCCTCCCCCCCCTTAAACCAGAGTTACACTCTAGTATTGTGGGACACGGATGGCGTAAGCCATTTACGTAAAACGGTGTATGTGTCGTGGACGCATGCACCGAGTTGTTAATGGCAAACTCTACCATTGGCAAGAATTCACTCCAACTCTTAAAGGAGTGTACGTATCCTCGAAGTATCTCTTCAAGGACACGATTGGCACGTTCCGTCTGACCATCTGACTCTGGATGATCAGATGTAGACATCTTCAAGCGCGTTTCGAGTGATTTGAACACGGAACGCCAGAAATCAGCGGTGAATCGTGGATCTCTGTCTGATACGAGTTCACGGGGCATCCCATGAAGTCGGAAGATGGTGTCAATAAAGACACAAGCACAGCCACTTGCCGTGATTGTCTCTGGTACAGCCACAAGGTGTACCATTTTGCTGAATCTGTCAACAAATACGAGAATACCCGTATTCCCGCGTACGTCTTTGGGTAACCCGAAGACGAAATCCATTGAGATGGATTCCCAGCACTCAGCCGGAACCGGTAGAGGCTGTAAAGGTGCACGCAGTGAAGGACTTGACTTCACTCGTTGACAGACTTCGCACGCGCGAACATACTTTCGCACAAACTGATACTGGCGGGGCCAGTAAAAGTCTCGACTCACCGTGAGATATGTTTTCTCCCGGCCACGATGTCCTCCTATAGGAGCATCGTGATACTCGAACATGATCCGCAAACGCAGATCAGTGTCATCTGGAATGACAACACGTGGTGTGTCACCAGAAACGGCTGTATAATACAGTAAACCGTTACGAGTAGTGTATCGATCTGATGCAGATCGATACGCAGACGACAAACGTTTCGAAGATTCTCGAGATGGTAGTGAGAGATGTGTCAACAACTCCACAATCTCACCATCTTGGGCGTATGCCCGCCTCACATCATCATACAACGTTGAAGATAGTACTGAGGACGTCATAACCGCAACAGTGACTGTCTCACTGTTGGGTTTCACGACAGGTTCAAAGTCGGTCCGGCGTGAGAGTGCATCAGCGACGACATTAAGTCGTCCTGGTTTGTACTCGACCGTAAAGTTGTAATCTGAAAAGAATGACAACCACCGCGCCATTCGTTGTGGAAGGTGCGGGCTACTGCCGTGCGTAATGACGCATGGTCAGTGTAAACAATGAAGGGTCTATCTCCTAATAGATAGACTCTGAACTTCGCGAGTGCATACTTCATGGCAAAGAGTTTCTTGTCATGCACTGGATGGTTCCGCTCAGCTGGTTGCAGCTGACGCGACTGATAGCAGACGACGCGTTCAATGCCTTCAAGATCGTACTGCATTAATGCACAGCCGATTGTGAAATCGCTGGCGTCACAGACCACATGAAATGGACTGTCCTGATCGGCTATTGCTAGTACTGGGGATTGTATCAAGCTCTGCTTGATACCATCAAAGGAGCGCTGACATTCAGCGTTCCATAACCACCTCTCGTTCTTTTTCAACAAACGAGAGAGGTGCACAGTCATCTCGGCGTAATTGAGTGAATACTTATGCAAATACGCCGCTAGCCCAAGGAATTTTAGAAGACCTTTGAAATAAACCGGCACAGGCCAGTCGGTGATCGCCTTGATCTTTTGGGGTCAGGACGTACACCGTTCTTACCAACGATGCACCCAAGAAGTGGTATTTCGCTTGCTGCAAATATACACTTCTTGAGGTTTGCATACAATTGATGCTTTCGCATGATTGTAAGAACCTGTTGGACATGGTACATGTGAACCTCAACGTCCGACTTTCCATCCATAGCCCGACTATGGATGAATACTTCGTCGAAATAACTCGGCGCGAATTCTCGTACTGGTATCAACAGATGTGATACACATTTGTTGAACGTGGCAGGGGCATTACTAAGCCCTTGTGGCATAGCTAGCCATTCCCAGAGCATGCCGCTAGGCGTGCTCACTGCGGTATAGGTTACATCCTGTTCTAGCATAAGGATTTGAAAGAAGCCATCCATCAAATCCATGGACGAAAAGATGGTACTCTTTGACATGCCATCAACGATTACGTCCTTCCTTGGTATCGGCGTCTGAGCCGGTACCGTTGCAGCATTCAACTTGATAAGTGCATGCACTATCCGCCACCCTCCTGTTGCTTTTCGCACACAGAAGGTCGGAGAGCTGTGTGGGGAAGTTGATTCACTCACATGACCCGCAGCTAAACGATCGGCAAAGAACTTGTCGATCGCAAGTACTTGTTCACGAGGCAGTGGCCACTGCTTCATGACACAGTACTTCGAGCCTGGTTTAATCTCGACCTCGTATCGAATACCTTTATCCTTCGGTAATTCGCACGGAACAGTTTCAGGAAATACATCCTTGAATTCAACCAAATCTTCATAGAGATGATTTGCCTTGAGCGATTCCCACGATTGGGAGTCAAATCGCTCAACTCGTGTCTTTTCATCTAGGACACTCTCGTCCATAGATGAACTACTGAGAACTCTCTCGTTCTCAGTGAACACTGTTGCTGACCTTATGTCGGCTACACACTCGTCGTCAGCGACGAGTACGCAGATCTGCTTGACTTTGCCACTACGCAGATCACGCAAGAACCTTTTATGTTCGAGCGTTGGCAACTGAGTGATCTCCGAAGTCAGCTTCGGAGGCGCAATCAGATCAGGTGTATAAACGCCTACACTTGATCCATCATTGACTATGACATTCAATGTCTCTGTCATTTCCTGGGGACTTATTCCCTCAGGCCTCGAAGGACTTATTCCTTCGGCTTCCCGGGGACTTATTCCCGCGGGTTTCGGGGAACTTATTTCCGCCGTATTTGTAATCTTGGGACTTATTCCCTTTACTTCCTCTAGCTGGGGTTGCGCAATTACAGCGAGATCCTCTACGTAAGACTCTCCAGTCGATCTAGGATTATCGTTTCGCTTAACCTGACCGATCGATTGTTTCTCTTCTAGATGTTCCCCGCTAAGGATACATCTTTGTCCCGGTCCACTGGACTTATTCGAGTGGTGGACCTTCGGCGCAGCCTGTGTTTCCTCACAGCCGCCGGAACTTTGCTCCGAAGTGTAACCGTTTGTTACACTAAGGTTTTGTGCAGTCGTACTAACGACCGTACCACAAGTGAGGCCATCGCACTCACTCGTAGTACATCCACACGCTTGTGGACGCTCCAGAACGTTCATCAGATGGCTATCTGATGAACAAGCGGCAGGCATCGTTACTGTTCGATGTTGCCAGTTTACTCGTGGTTCTTACCTTCTGAGCCACGGTATTCCAAGGATGACATCAAATTTGTCATCCAAATCCAATACGATAAAGTCATCGTCATATTTCGTATCTTCTAGCGTATAGTGAATCTTTACTATACGCTTCATGACGGTTACGGATGCGCCTGTCGCAAGATGTACCGTCATCCTCGTAGGAGGTGTGTCACATTCACTGAACTTTAAGTGACCATCTTTTAGCGATTGGCGTTGCACAAAATTGTTGGACGCCCCACAATCGACTAGAGCTCGAAGGGACAACTTATTCGTCACTTCGAGTTTCAAGGTAATGAGTGAGATCTCATTACCTAGAGCAGCAACGCACAACGTTTGTGTGTTGGGAGCAACCTTCATCAAGAGGCCTACAAATTCTCTTGACGTTGCTGGACCAGTAGGGTGCTCCGCACCTACTGATCCTGTCCGTTTTTTGACGGTCCATCCCGTTGTTGCGTCTTTGCACCAACAGCGGACCCGCGTCCCTGCCCCTTTCTCATGGGTGGACGGTCACTACGCCCAGTGTTGCAAGACACTTGACGAGGGGCACTACACTCGTAAGCGTAGTGTCCTGTCTTTTGACATCTGTTGCATCTCTGCAACTTCTTGTAGTCTGTAGATCGAGCCTTCTCGCTCTCTACATAACAGAGTTCCATCGGCTCTGGACCTCCGCTGTCATATCGTCTCGGTTGACGATATGATGTCGAGCTGGCGCGAGCCTGTCTCAGACTGAAGTCTTCCTGTTCCGCAATGGATATGGCTTGTTCTAGTGAATCTAGTACAAGTCGGAACAGGTGAGTCTTGACGGGACCATCCGCAACACCCTGCATGAACACCGAAACCAACGTGTGTTCATCAACCGGGTTGGAACTTATACAGCTCGTAAGATGTCGTATATGTTGCGCGTAAGCGTGCACATCACGCTTACCTTGTCTGAGCTTCAAGAGTTCAGTTCGAGCTCTGAACTCAGCTCTAGGCGATTCAAGCGTTTGTCTGAGCCGCGACTTGAAGACTTCTAACGACTCAAACGTATATGGGTCGTGCAACTTGAGCCCCAGTGCCCAAGTCTTGGCACGTCCTGCCAGATTTGACTGGGCAAATGCAACTTGCACTTCCCCGTCGTCGATGCGACGCGCCCTTATGGCTTCATCCGATTCGACGAACCATCTCAAGAGGGAGTCCTCTTCGACTCCCCTATACTTGGAGATGTCAATTGTCAAGGTCTCGGGTCGACGCGAGTGCATCGACCCACCAGCAGCGGCCTGCTGCTGTCTCAACAGTTCAAACTGTTGAACACCCTGTTCTCTCAACAACTCTGCTTGTTGAGAACCTTGTTGGTGAAGCAAGGCTACTTTCTCGCGTTCAGAGTCAAGTTCATTTTGAATGAACTTGGTGATAGTAGCATGTTGGGCATCTCTATTGAGAGCCTCTAGCATGACGCTAACAGCATGGATGCCCATGGTTGAACCCATCCGTTCAACCGCATCCGATTAGACATCGCTCAAATGTGAGTAGCCGTCACGCGTAGCGTGAAAGCTTTGGTCATCTTCATCATCCAACATATTCATGTTAGATGTGAACGTGGTCCTTGGACGGACTACGAAGTGCTACCAGGTGTAACGGGGCACCCTGAAGCTTGTACTGGTGACATTACAAGTTACTTATTCTGATGACAGAATAAGGCGGTGCCTCGGAACTTCACGTACACTGGTACGTGCAGAGGAAGACGGTAAGAAGAAGCGAGTACTTGGTTAGAGTAAAAAGTAGAACTGTATTTATAATAGTTAATGTCTGCAATAAATCACTATTTATCCTCATCTAACTATGTCTGAATACAAATGTGTAAATCAACTATCTGCTCACCACTCATTGCGTGCGTCTGTCGTGGCGCGTCTTCGTTGGTTGATATAATGGCCTATATCAACCAATGAGGAACTACTCGTAAGTGCTGCAGAATATTGTCCTTATGACAATATTCTGAGAATATAACTGTTGTCGTTATACTCTATTAACAATTTCTTATAAATTGTTATGTAACGATTCACCCCGTTACAGTTGGGGTGGACGGCCACGCATGGCTTGCCACGTAAAGTAGCTCGGGAATGATGATGGCCTTCGCCACTGTGGCTTATCTTGCCATGGTAAGTGTCTTATGACTTGCTAATCGAAGCCTCGGGCGAAGTTGAGTCGCAGCAAGAGCCAAGAGTGGTCAGCTCCTCCTTTGCTTCCTACTTGGAGGCCAAGATAGCGTGTATAAACCATGAACCTTGGGGGTTTATCGACCACGGCCACGAAGTGTCTGGACGTAATCCTTCTGAGTGCAAAGCAAAGCCAAAAAAATTGAGATGTTGAGCCAAGTACTTTGCCGTCGAGGGAGTAGATCAATACATAGTGTAAGCATACTTTATGTTAAAGACTTGCGTCCGTAGGCTTGTGGTCTTACACGCAAATGGATACGCTGGCGATGAATCGGCTTCCAATCAACTACAATGGTGACAACTAAGATCAAATAAAAGAACGGGAAAAGGCTCGACTGCGCGGTCATCAACAAGACTAACTCTAAGAGCTACATCTGTCATCAATGTATAACGGTTCACGTTGCCGTACCGAGCTGCTACCACTCTTCCGACTGCTACGCAAAGGTGTGAAAAGACTTTGTGATATGCAAAGTATTGCGAACATAAGAGTTCGCATGGTCATGAAATTAATGAAACAGTGAAGCATATGTAGATCATTATCATCGTATATTCCAAGATCATCATCCAACGCAATCGAGGAATTTATAAAATACGTTTGAACCAACCAGTACTACATAACTTGCAATAACGCACGATGTTTCTTCATACACAGTTTAGCACTGCATGTACCATTTACGAGTATCGATGCCTGAACTCACTCGGTCTGTTCATTATCCTTTTTTACATAAAACTGCACGCTTTTGCTTCAAAAGTATCTACGCCTAAATTAAATACCTCTTTTACAAGTAATGTAATCCTTAAAATCTTGACATTCCACCACCGGGGCCATGTCAACATTTTTCACATTGAGGTGTAGAATTGCGATCCAAAACTACAACACTTACTGTGACCTTAATCGACATGCAAGTAGTTCGTCACCTTTATCGGCATGCAAGTAATTTGTCACACAGCTAGAAAGCTGTGCGCTTAGTATCTGCAGATCCTGCCCGAACTACATATGACTCCACTCTTCAACACTCTGCACCATTGCGATCGATAGTTCGACATCTCGAGCAGTCCATCAAGCAAGGCGCTCTCAGTTGGCCAACGTTGTAGACGGCGACTCGTGTCGCCCTTGCGCATCGCGGCGCTTTCGCCACCACTGTGCTAGAGAGACATTTTGCCAGAGAAACAGTGATGGATCGTTGGAGGTGCTCTTACCTCCGCCACCAGAGTTCTTGCGCTTTCTTCCTCGTAGCTCATTGTCTTTTTCACTTTCAGAGTCATTCTCCTCTTCGTCACTTAATCGTGCCTCGTTATCCGTCGTCTCATCAAAGTCATCCATAGGATCTGACAGCACCATAACGAGTTTCTCTGCCTGCTCCTCCATCGCTAAGAGCGCCGAGTATGACGTAAAAACGTCGTCATCGAGGTACTTACGCGGATTGCTCTCAATGAGCTTCAGCAGTCGAACGAAATGAGGATGAGCCTCAGCGATAGGGACGTGAAGGTCGAACGAAAGCTGAGCGTATACTGTAAACTCGGCTGTGAGAACATCCCGTGATGGCAAAGCATGCACACGATCAATGTCCTTCAACAGTAAGCGAATGACACGTTTGCGCTCGTCTGACGCACAGGGTTCATTGAACTTGACAGCCAGCAGGAAGCACACTGCCATGTAAAGCTTGCGGTTCACCTTGGCAACGTAGCGTTGCAGCACCAGTTTTTCAAAGAGCACACAGGCTAGAGCGACCGTAGCGACTTCAAGGTTCAGTCGCTGACTGCACATAATCGCCTCTCGCTTCAGATGTCTCAATTTGCTCAGCGATAGCGATGGGTCTTGCAGCCAGTGTGCGTGTTTTTCCTGAAACTTCTGGTTGAGCTCGTCCTTGAGCTCGTGTGGCTTAACAAAGAGCAGGATGCTCGAAACAATGGGTCCAAGGCTCTTGTCCCCACGCACGACATGCCGATGGCGGCCTTGACGAAACTCTGGATCATCCAGAAAGTTGGCTGAGTACGGCACACGCTCCGGGTGTGCGTCTTCTCGGTCTCGATCGGCATCGCAGGCTGAATAGGTGGCGTGCAGTAGTCGAAAGTACGAAGTGCCTCTCCAGTCATAATGGGTTGGAGCCGGTCGTTCTAGCGCCAAGCCACTCATCGAGGCCAGTCGACTCCTTCTCGCCGTCGTGTCATTCTTGCCATTGTACTGCCGACAAAAGAACAACAAGAGGACGACAACGATAGAGCAATCAATCCGTTAGTTACCAGAAGATCCCCAATGTCTCTAGTCGCTCGCATCTCTCGCTCCTTCAGCCCTCACGTTAATGATCGTCGACGTAACTAACGGGTACCCACAGCCTCTGGAGAAAAAGAGTCTCGCGTCCAGAAGTCCGTCCTGAGCTGTCACGGCTTCCCATCGCCGCACCACAGCCGAAGCCGCTGGAAACTTGGTCGTTAGTTGGTACCGGAATCGAGGCGGAACGTGCACGACAGTCGCGGCTATGCCCGGGAGTCTCCTGCCAGCCAGCGGCTCCAACTTGGAGTCGCCGCTACCGACCGTTCCTGCACTACTCACTGGTCCATTACCAGCCGCCTCATCGTCCGCTTTCCCGTCGTTCTTGAGATCGCATTCCGACATCGACAGCAGCTCAGCGACTGCGCTCTCGGACCGCATGGGAATGGTCTGCAGGAAGTCCAGCGCCGCGATGTCACGTGTGACTTTGCGCGAGTGGCGACTGCGGTCATTGGCGACTGAGCTCGCGACTGGGGACGACGGTAGTAGTAGCGACGGACGACAGTCTTCGGCAAGCATGGTCGTGTCCGGGTATGGATGGCACTTCTAGACTCGGTCTCACTCGATACTGAAGACGATGTCAGTGATGCACAACCAAGCACGACCTGTGACAAATAGTAAGTAGGGATGGATCGACCGCACTATTTCGGTTCAAGCTGCAAGAGGGACAGGAGGGTAACCCCCGTATCTATCCCCCCTTGTGGTAGATCTAGTTGCCATGTTTGTGAGTGCGATGCGGTCAGCGCAGAAGTCAAAGTCGACGTCCTGTGCGTCATGCGGGGAAAATGGACAGCAAGAACTTGACAATCGATGCGAGCGAAGTCAAAGACATGTGGTGAACTTGCGCTTCGCCGAGCAGCACTGCTGAGTGTGGAACGCACCGAGCTGAGGACCTATCTACGTGCACAGAATGCAAGGCTTACTCGGGTCAATTACTTGCTAAAATGTGCGATGATGTAGCGGGTCGTACGAGGCGGTCAAAGTGGATAACGGTTTCCATAAGACGCGCAATTGTCAGTCGGACGGGTCGTGGCTCGATCGTTCATTGTTATGCTGCGGTGTTACCCATAGCAAGTAGACGTCATTGACGAGACTACAGCGACTGGAAATCCATCCGGAGACTTGTAGAACACCTTTGACGTCTGCAGTCCCTGCTTGCAGTACGCGAGCTCCTCGTGACCTTCAACAGTTGCCGACGTATATTCGCAGAACAGAGTTTGACGGTTGACACCACTGACATTGGCTCTGCTGAGCTACTTCTCGTCGCCGGAGTCATCATAGTCTTCCGTGCTTTTGCCAAAGCGATCCGACAGATAGTTCGTGTACGTCAGAAACTGGTTCGATAACTTGGACTCGAACGTCGGCGTGAACCCCGAAGGCGTGAAACCTAAGTTCGCATGCATCTCTTTGCGTAGCATGCGTGCTACTCGGATCGCTCAGCACAAGAGTGTTACGTACTGAAACGATACCCACCGTAAGAGACATCCAGCAATATCACATGTGCGTACCAGTGATAAAGGTGCACGGGTTGAGAATCTCGTCCGCTTTGCCCGGTACGACCTTCACGTCCTTCGCCAGCCAGCGCATGGTCTCAGCAAATTTGCTCATGCAGTTCGTGTTCTGTGTAGGATGATGCAACGCAGTCAGCTCCACCCATTCTGATAGAACTCAACTTGGGCATGTGACTTCGTGCAGCCGTCACCTGCAACGTACCAAATAGGGCGGATCAACGAGCACGTAATCGAAGAAGTGGTGGAACTGTTCCGGCAACTTCGTGGGCTCGTTGTAGTCGTAGAACACAAAGTGGGGGCCATACTTTTCGTGAAATCGACGGTCGTACTCGAACAAAAAGACGTTGTCCCCGTCAATAGGTGAGTCGCTCTCCTCCTGAATCTTCAGGAAATCTCGATATGCTGCTGGCGTGCTCACGAACGCAATGCGCATCTTCTTGCTCTGATCGATGGCTTCCTGTGCCAAGGCACGTCCGGTTCGATCGTCGTACCAGCTGTAGACACAAGAAACTCAGTAAATTAAACGCAAGGAAGCGTAGAACGGAAGATGGTCGGCCTTTTGCATCCTTGTAATGCACGCACAATTGTGAGAGACGAAAGTCCTCGGACACAGCTGCATCTTCCTCCGCCTCTTGCGTCTTGAGATGCGCCTGCAACGCTGCTAAAGTATCAGCTGAGAGCTCGGTCGAAAGCAAGGTGTTCATCGCGGTGGGCGTCGACAAGCAAATGCCAAATGGGCTACCAGCCAATCAATCGTTCGAGTCATAGAATGCACGTGAAAAGACATGTAGAACTTCCTCCACTAGCCTATGTACTAGATCTCTATAGTACGTCATCTACTTGTCGTTTTCTGCCTCCTCGTCCTCGTCAAGCGCGTTCCACGGACCAAAACGCTTCGACTCGTAGTTGGTGTATGTAAAAAGATGGTTGCTCAGTTTCGACTCAAAAGTCGGGTAGAAGCCCGTGGGGACAAAGCCTAACTCGGCCTTCATCTCCTTCCGCAGCAATTGGGCTGTACAAGCACAAGAACATAGCACACAACTCATTGCTCAGTCGATAGCTCGTCAGTCAGTTTAGACTCAAAGGACCGCATTTACTAGGAGCATTTTTCGTACAGTTAATGAACGTGGATGGGTTAAACACGCGGTCCTTTGTACCGGGCACCAGCTCAACGTCCTTGGCGAGCCACCGCATCGTGTCCGAGAACTTAATTAAACAGTCGAGACTCTAACAACACAATCGTCAAGCACGTACAATAAGCGTGCAAGCCTAAATCCGTATCAGTCGATCGAACAAGACGGGAACGCACCAGGTGGGGCGGCTCCATGAGCACATAGTCGAAGAAGTGGTGAAATCTCTCGGGCAAGTCGATTGGCGCGTTGTAGTCGTAAAAGCAGAATTGACTGCCGTATTTCTCACCAAATCGCCGGTCAAACTCGAAGATGTAGACGTTGTCGACCATAATGGCGCGCTTGGCTTCGTCCGACTCCTCGCTCTGGATCTTTAGGAAGTCACGGTATGCCGCTGGCGTACTCACAAATGCAATCTTGCACTCATGGGTACTATGGTCGATCGCCTCCTGTGCCAGTGCTCGACCAGTCTTCTCATCGTACCAGCTGCCAGTTTACACAGTCGTGCATCGAGTCAGTCGGTCTGTCAGTCTCATAGCTGGATGGGCAAGTGAGTCCCGATTCAATTGACATGATTCTGCCGATGATAGAAGGTCGTTGCATACAATTGTGATAGCCGATAATCCTCCGGTACCGAAACGTCGTCTTCTTGAGAACGTTCCAGCAGATGCGCCTGCAACGCTGCCAAAGTATCAGCTGAGAGCTCAGTCGCCAGTAACTCGTCCATCGTTGCGTGCCTGTTTTCAGCAAATTGGCTGGCTCTCGGCTTCCTGAATCAGGAAAGTTTTAAATCTAGTCCCGTAGTGATTCCGATTTTTAATTTGTTGCACGATTTCTTAAAGTAGAAGATTTGACAAGATAAAGTTCTTGCTTAAATTCTCTGCGTAATATCAAGTGTGATGCAACGAGCGAACTGCTGGATGAGACGCCTGGGTTTAAAACGCGATTTCCAGTCAGAAACATCCACGGCAAAAACAAAACAAATTAATCGAAGCCTTCACCCACAAAATCAGGAGAATTGCTACTTTCAAGCCACAGATTTGCAGCCACAGTACCCATCATTCGACTTAATAGCTAGGAATGCTAATGCCAACGCAACAGTTGTTGTTTATTTTATGACCGCACTGCAGACCCACCCCGAGTATATACGCTAGGGGAGCAACCTCTGGAGCTCGCCCCTTGATATAAGTAATCCAGTTCGGAGAACTGAACTAAGTTGCTAAACACTATACAACAGCAGCAGTCACTGAAGAAGGAGTATGATGCCGTAGATGTCTGAATTAACGCAGAGGTATACTCATGCAACGCGATCGGCCTTGCTTTCGAGCGTCCAGTGTTGACTTACATGGAAATGTTCACCTTTGGTCGATTTAGAGCCTATCACGTGCGTGCGTCACAATAGCGACCTAGCCAAACAATGACTTTAGATATATACCCCAACCTTTGAGAAGGGGATAGGCTTTATCGCACTTAGTATGCGTAATGTACACCTGACCGTGTTTTGTACAGACACACATGGACACACAGATAAGTACGATTTATAACCTCGGCATTGAACCATGCGCACAGTCTCAAAAAGCTTCACACTCGGGCTTGCAATCGAACTATTATAACAACACATTGTTGCTATATTTCTGTCATTACATCAAAAAAGCAGAGCCGTTCAAGCTCTAGATTTCGGCAAAAGACCTGTAGTATGAGGAAGGCTTACTGTAACGGGGTGAGCCTGTTACACGTAGTCAACCTTGGTACTTGTTCATCAGAATATTATCATAAAGATTGATAAAATTCGCGAATATTACCAAAGGGGCTATCTATCGAAGCACTCACCAATTGAATGATTTGAGCTATCATATCAACAACCAGCTCTAGCGGTCCAATCAACGATGGACGCGCGCAATGACTGGTGAGCAAGACTATAGCACACACTTTTGCAGATATAAATAATTCAGTTAGGACTAAACATAGGTACATGTATTCAGGACCTAGCTATTTTTGACACTGTTTTACTTTCTACTTGTAACGGGGCACCCTGAAGCTTGTACTGGTAACAGTACAAGCTACTTATTCTGATGACAGAATAAGGCGGTGCCTCGTAACTTCACGTACAATCGTACGTGCAGAGGAAGACGGTAAGAAGAAGCGAGTACTTGGTTAAAGTAAAAAGTAGGACTGAATTTATCATAGTTAATAACTGTTAATAAACCACTGTTTATCTTCATTTAACTATGTCTAAATACAAATGTGCATATCAACTATCTGCTCACCACTCATTGCGTGCGTCTGTCGTGGCGCGTCTTCGTTGGTTGATATAATGGCCTATATCAACCAATTAGGAACTACTTGTAAGTGCAACAGAATACTTGTCCTTATGACAATATTCTGAGAATATAACTCTTATAGTTATATTCTATTAACAATTTCTTATAAATTGTTATGTAACGATTCACCCCGTTACATCACCCCCCCTTAACCATCAGTCACTTTAGTGACTGATTGACTATTTGGATACTCGTCCCAAATCATTTGGGACGGGGTTTGCACTTGTTGGTCCGAGTCCACTTTCCAACATCTCATCGCATGGTTAACAAGCCCATGCGATGCGCGAGCAAGGCCGCCGAGAGCGCGTCCGCACGTCTCTGTGCGGACGCCGAAGCAGAAACCACAGCAACTGATGTCTCATCGGTTGCTGAAGCGACTCAGCCTGTGTCACTTGGTGATGCAGGCGCTGGTCATGAAGACACTCATGTCTTCACAGAGTATGAGCTCGGAGTCTCATACTCTCCTGATACGGAAGACGGATCCGTATCGACGGCGATCGAATCCGATCCAAGCGTGGCATGGATGATGCTATGTGTCGCAGCATCTTTGGTTCATCTGATGAATCAGATGAACCATCGCCGAAGCGAAGGCGCTCGAGGTCGCGAGACTCGGGCGCTAACAGTGGTGTCGGTTCTCCTATGGATACCACTTCGCAACGAGGTGCCAGTCCTTCTGTCGGCACGTCGCAGGAAGAGCGGGACCGCAATGTCTTGCGTCTCACTCCTGAGAAGAAGGCATGGATGCCTCCTAAATCTGTCATGGATCACTTGTCGGCGACGACGAGTGATCGTCATAGAACACGATTGTTCGATTCGTCAAGGATCTATCACCTTGACCCCAGCGCGAAAAACTATCGCGCTGAGAATGAATTCTTCATCGATGCTTTCTTTTGACATCGATGGTACAGTGGGAATTACAAGCGTGATGGTCCCTCACTACTTCAAGCGTGGAACGCCTACATCCATAACCTTGGGGATGTAGGTCGTGACGCTTGGAACGACAGACTTATCAAAGCTCGTGATAAGTTTGAAAAGGGAACCCCGATAGGTGCACGCTACAAGCTGCATCTTCTGTCAAGGGAGAAAGGATTACCCTGCCTCTCTTGGGGAGACTCGTGCCCATGTTGTGTGAACAACTCTGCACGAGCACATAAGGAGGCTTACCTCCTTACCAGCCCGTGGTGGCGCGTACGTGTCTCTAGTGATATGTACGAAGGGATTGACAACCTGTGAGATGTACGAAGGGATTGACAACCTGAAATCCCTTTATGACCGTGCCGGGAAGACTTTCTCCGGCGGTCCTTCTGCGGCACAGGATGTGCCGCGTCGTACTGCTCAACCAGACCCAGTAAGTCAACCATCTGTTGGGAGCGGGGCTCCCAAGTATCCCAGGACGGGGGATAGCCGCGCCACCGGACGAGGTAACTCGTCCGACATCCGTTCACATCGCGGTGGTTCAACAGCTGCTCAACTAGATAGCGCTGGCCACCGCGAGAGTCCTCTAATGGAGGTGGTGGAGGAGGAAAGACGCTCTCCTCACGATCATGGGGATCCGTGTGTTCCCGAGAGCTTCTTTGATCGCGTAACGCAAGGGTTACGCGGCGATCTCGAACACGAGCGGGACAGGCGTCTCCAAATGGCGGACACTGTCTTGAAGCATCGAGCTGAGTTTGCCTTTGCTCAGATTGAAAACGAGAGAGCTCTGACATCACTTCGTGACGAGCTAAGGGTAGCTCGTGGGATTGTTGATCGGTCTCGGGATGAGATAACTGCTCTTCAGACCCATGTCGATGCCCACCATCGGGAGCACAAGGCTCTCCTCGAGATGCTTGAGCGCAAGGGCGTTCTTCATCGGAAGAAGCAGCGTACTGATGGTACGGCTTAAGCCGACCAGCGTAAAACGTGGGATGCGTTAGCATCTTACGTGGTAACTCGATCGTGTATGCATTGCCTAGGCGGTGCAGTACACGAAATGGGCCGATGTACTTGGGTAGTAGTTTACTGCTACCCAAGTTAGTCACTACATGCTTTGGTAGATTAACCGTAGACAGTAGGACTAAGTCACCTTTATTAAATAAAAGAGTGTTTGCCCTTCCATTCTTGTCAGCGTTTTGCTTTTGCTTGTCCACCGCTTCGGCGATGGAGTCTTGCACAAAACGGACTACCGTTTCACGAGCCAGTATGAACTCATCTGATGACTCGTTAGCTTCAGTGCGCTGTGAGCGCACTGCAGCAACATCAACCTTTTCTTCAGTGAGGGCTTCCGCACTCTCACTGGCATCATCTTCTTCAGTGAGGGCTTCCGTACTCTCACTGGCATCATCTTCTTCGATATCGATGTTATCGATATCGGCATCAAACGCAATGACCTCTTCGTCAGAGCGTGATGAGCGTGAACCAAATCGGTTTTTGCTCGTGCGAGTCCCTCCCCCTCTTAAACCAGAGTTACACTCTAGTAAGGTGGGTACACGCGAATGGCGTAAGCCATTCACGTAAAACGGTGTATGTGTCGTGGACGCATGGGCCGAGTTGTTAATGGCAAACTCTACCATTCGCAAAAACTCACTCCAACTCTTTTAGGAGTGTACGTAGCCTCCAAGTATCTCTTCGAGGACACGATTGGCACGTTCCGTCTGACCATCTGACTCTGGATTATCAAATGTCGACATCTTCAAGCGCGTTCCGAGTGATTTGAGCACGGAACGCCAGAAATCAGCAGTGAAGCGTGGATCTCTGTCTGATACGAGTTCACGGGGCAACCCATGAAGTCGGAAGATGGTGTCAATAAAGACACAAGCACAGCCACTTGCCGTGATTGTCTCTGGTACAGCCACAAGGTGTACCATTTTGCTGAATCTGTCAAGAAATACGAGAATACCCGTATTCCCGCGTGCGTCTTTGGGTAACCCGAAGACGAAATCCATTGAGATGGATTCCCAGCACTCTGCCGGAACCGGTAGAGGCTGTAAAGGTGCACGCAGTGAAGGACTTGACTTCACTCGTTGACAGACTTCGCATGCGCGAACATACTTTCGCACAAACTGATACTGGCGGGGCCAGTAAAAGTCTCGACTCACCGTGAGATACGTTTTCTCCCGGCCACGATGTCCTCCCATAGGAGCATCTTGATACTCGAACATGATCCGCAAACGCAGATCAGTTCCATCTGGAATGACAACACGTGGTGTGTCACCAGAAATGGCTGTATAATACAGTAAACCGTTACGAGTAGTATATCGATCTGATGCAGATCGATACGCAGACGACAATCGTTTCAACGATTCTCGAGATGGTTGGGAGAGATGTGTCAACAACTTCACAATCTCACCATCTTGGGCGTAGGCCCGCCTCACATCATCATGCAACGTTGAAGATGGTACTGAGGACGTCATAACCGCAACAGTGGCTGTCTCACTTTTGGATTTCACGACTGGCTCAAAGTCGGGACGACGTGAGAGTGCATCAGCGACGACACTAAGTCGTCCTGGTTTGTACTCGACCGTAAAGTTGTATTCTGCAAAGAATGACAACCACCGCGCCATTCGTTGTGAAAGGTGCGGGCTGTTTACTGGCGTGCGTAATGACGCATGGTCTGTGTAAACAATGAAGGGTCTATCTCCTAAGAGATAGACTCTGAACATCGCGAGTGCATACTTCATGGCAAGGAGTTCCTTGTCATGCACTGGATAGTTCCGCTCAGCTGGTTTCAGCTGACGCGACTGATAGCAGACGACGCGTTCAACGCCTTCAAGATCGTACTGCATTAATGCGCAGCCGATTGCGAAATCGCTGGCATCACAGACCACATGAAATGGCCTGTCCTGATCGGCTATTGCTAGGACTAGGAATTGTATCAATCTCTGCTTGATACCATCAAAGGAGCGCTGACAATTAGCGTTCTATAACCACCTCTCGTTCTTTTCAACAAACGAGAGAGGTGCACAGTCATCTCGGCGTAATTGCGTGAATACTTGTGCAAATACGCCGCTAGCCCAAGGAATTTTCGAAGACCTTTGACATCAACCGGAACAGGCCAGTCGGTGATCGCCTTGATCTTTTGGGATCAGGACGTACACCGTTCTTACCAACGATGCACCCAAGAAGTGGTATTTCGCTTGCTGCAAATATACACTTCTTGAGGTTTGCATACAATTGATGCTTTCGCATGATTGTATGAACCTGTCGGACGTGGTACCTGTGAACCTCAACCTCCGAATTTCCATCCATAGCCCGACTATGGATGAATACTTCGTCGAAATAACTCGGCGCGAATTCTTGTACTGGTCTCAACGGATGGGATACACATTTGTTGAACGTGGCAGGGGCATTACTAAGCCCTTGTGGCATTACTAGCCATTCCCAGAGCATGCCGCTAGGCGTGCTAACTGCGGTATAGGGTATGTCCCGTTCTCGCATAGGGATTTGATAGAAGCCATCCATTAAATCCATGGACGAAAAGATGGTACTCTTTGACATGCCATCAACGATTACGTCCTTCCTTGGTATCGGCGTCTGAGCCGGTACCGTTGCAGCATTCAACTTGATAAGTGCATGCACTATCCGCCACCCTCCTGTTGCTTTTCGCACACAGAAGGTCGGAGAGCTGTGTGGGGAAGTTGATTCACTCACATGACCCGCAGCTAAACGATCGGCAAAGAACTTGTCGATCGCAAGTACTTGTTCACGAGGCAGTGGCTACTGCTTCATGACACAGTACTTCGAGCCTGGTTTAATCTCGACCTCGTGTCGAATACCTTTATCCTTCGGTAATTCGCACGGAACAGTTTCAGGAAATACATCCTTGAATTCAACCAAATCTTCATAGAGATGATTTGCCTTGAGCGATTCCCACGATTGGGAGTCAAATCGCTCAACTCGTGTTTTTTCATCTAGGACACTCTCGTCCATAGATGAACTACTGAGAACTCTCTCGTTCTCAGTGAACACTGTTGCTGACCTTATGTCGGCTACACACTCGTCGTCAGCGACGAGTACGCAGATCTGCTTGACTTTGCCACTACGCAGATCACGCAAGAACCTTTTATGTTCGAGCGTTGGCAACTGAGTGATCTCCGAAGTAAACTTCGAAGGCGCAATTAGATCAAGTGTATAAACGCCTACACTTGATCCATCATTGACTATGACATTCAATGTCTCTGTCATTTCCTGGGGACTTATTCCCTCAGGCCTCGAAGGACTTATTCCTTCGGCTTCCCGGGGACTTATTCCCGCGGGTTTCGGGGAACTTATTTCCGCCGTATTTGTAATCTTGGGACTTATTCCCTTTACTTCCTCTAGCTGGGGTTGCGCAAACACAGCGAGATCCTCTACGTAAGACTCTCCAGTCGATCTAGGATTATCGTTTCGCTTAACCTGACCGATCGATTGTTTCTCTTCTAGATGTTCCCCGCTAAGGATACATCTTTGTCCCGGTCCACTGGACTTATTCGAGTAGTGGACCTTCGGCGCAGCCTGTGTTTCCTCACAGCCGCCGGAACTTTGCTCCGAAGTGTAACCGTTTGTTACACTAAGGTTTTGTGCAGTCGTACTAACGACCGTACCACAAGTGAGGCCATCGCACTCACTCGTAGTACATCCACACGCTTGTGGACGCTCCAGAACGTTCATCAGATGGCTATCTGATGAACAAGCGGCAGGCATCGTTACTGTTCGATGTTGCCAGTTTACTCGTGGTTCTTACCTTCTGAGCCACGGTATTCCAAGGATGACATCAAATTTGTCATCCAAATCCAATACGATAAAGTCATCGTCATATTTCGTATCTTCTAGCGTATAGTGGATCTTCACTATACGCTTCATGACGGTTATGGATGCGCCTGTCGCAAGACGTACCGTCATCCTCGTAGGAGGTGTGTCACATTCAACAAACTTGAAGTGAACATCTTCTAGCGATTGGCGTTGCACAAAATTGTTGGACGCCCCACAATCGACTAGAGCTCGAAGGGACAATTTATTCGTCACTTCGAGTTTCAAGGTAATGAGTGAGATCTCATTACCTAGAGCAGCAACGCACAACGTTTGTGTGTTGGGAGCAACCTTCATCAAGAGGCCTACAAATTCTCTTGACGTTGCTGGACCAGTAGGGTGCTCCGCACCTACTGATCCTGTCCGTTTTTTGACGGTCCATCCCGTTGTTGCGTCTTTGCACCAACAGCGGACCCGCGTCCCTGCCCCTTTCTCATGGGTGGACGGTCACTACGCCCAGTGTTGCAAGACACTTGACGAGGGGCACTACACTCGTAAGCGTAGTGTCCTGTCTTTTGACATCTGTTGCATCTCTGCAACTTCTTGTAGTCTGTAGATCGAGGCCTTCTCGCTCTCTACATAACAGAGTTCCATCGGCTCTGGACCTCCGCTGTCATATCGTCTCGGTTGACGATATGATGTCGAGCTGGCGCGAGCCTGTCTCAGACTGAAGTCTTCCTGTTCCGCAATGGATATGGCTTGTTCTAGTGAATCTAGTACAAGTCGGAACAGGTGAGTCTTGACGGGACCATCCGCAACACCCTGCATGAACACCGAAACCAACGTGTGTTCATCAACCGGGTTGGAACTTATACAGCTCGTGAGATGTCGTATATGTTGCGCGTAAGCGTGCACATCACGCTTACCTTGTCTGAGCTTCAAGAGTTCAGTTCGAGCTCTGAACTCAGCTCTAGGCGATTCAAGCGTTTGTCTGAGCCGCGACTTGAAGACTTCTAACGACCCAAACGCATATGGGTCGTGCAACTTGAGCCCCAGTGCCCAAGTCTTGGCACGTCCTGCCAGATTTGACAGGGCAAATGCAACTTGCATATCCCCATCGTCGATGCGACGCGCCCTTATGGCGTCGTCTAATTCGACGAACCATCTCAAGAGGGAGTCCTCATCGACTCCATTATACTTGGAGATGTCAATCTTCAAGGTTTCGGGTCGACGCGAATGCATCAACCCACCAGCAGCAGCCTGCTGCTGTCTCAACAGTTCAAACTGTTGAGCACCCTGTTCTCTCAACAACTCTGCTTGTTGAGAACCTTGTTGGTGAAGCAAGGCTACTCTCTCGCGTTCTGCGTCAAGCTCATTTTGAATGAACTTGGCGATAGTAGCATGTTGGGCATCTCTATTGAGAGCCTCTAGCATGACGCTAACAGCATGGATGCCCATGGTTGAACCCATCCGTTCAACCGCATCCCATTCGACATCGCTCAAATGGGAGTAGCCGTTACGCGTAGCGCGAAAGCTTTGGTCATCTTCATCATCAAACATGAATATGTTAGATGATGAAGATGGTCCTTGGACGGACTACAAAGTGCTACCAGGCGTAACGGGGCACCCTGAAGCTTGTACTGGTAACAGTACAAGCTACTTATTCTGATGACAGAATAAGGCGGTGCCTCGTAACTTCACGTAACACTCGTACGTGCAGAGGAAGACGGTAAGAAGAAGCGAGTACTTGGTTAAAGTAAAAAGTAGAACTGTATTTATAATAGTTAGTGGCTGTTAATAAACCACTGTTTATCTTTATCTAACTATGCCTGAATACAAATGTGCATATCAAATATCTGCTCACCACTCATTGCGTGCGTCTGTCGTGGCGCGTCTTCGTTGGTTGATATAATGGCCTATATCAACCAATTAGGAACTACTCGTAAGTGCTACAGAATATTCGCCCTTATGACAATATTCTGAGAATATAACTCTTATCGTAATATTCTATTAACAATTTCTTATAAATTGTTATGTAACGATTCACCCCGTTACAGTTCGTTTACGTTTCTTTTGATTTGTTCTTTTGCACCTTGAGTGCGATTTTAGGTAGGGGGTGGTGTAACGGGGTGTTGTATACATTGAGGTATACCGTCCTATGTATACATGTACATAGTAGGTATACACTGTAGCCAAGTGTAGCGGCTACAGTGTGTCGTAGTCCTATTCTGCTGGTAAGTGGGTACAGACCCATTATCAGCCAATAGGATGCAACTTTTAGCTGAGTGGATCTCGTGGCTCAGAGACCACTAGTACCTAAAATGATTTAGTTTAGACCATACAAAAATAAAATTAAAGTCGAAAGAAACAACCACAAACGACACGCGATTACACGTGTGTCTCTTACGCTTCCTCGTAAGACCTCAGTGTAAGTAACGCAACGAGCTCTAGTCCCGTTACAGGAGTAGTGTAACAAGGTGAATCGTTACATAACAATTTATAAGAAATTGTTAATAGAATATTACGATAAGAGTTATATTCTCAGAATATTGTCATAAGGGCGAATATTCTGTAGCACTTACGAGTAGTTCCTAATTGGTTGATATAGGCCATTATATCAACCAACGAAGACGCGCCACGACAGACGCACGCAATGAGTGGTGAGCAGATATTTGATATGCACATTTGTATTTAGACATAGTTAGATAAAGATAAACAGTGGTTTGTTAACAGCCACTAACTATTATAAATACAGTTCTACTTTTTACTTTAACCAAGTACTCGCTTCTTCTTACCGTCTTCCTCTGCACGTACGAGTGTTACGTGAAGTTACGAGGCACCGCCTTATTCTGTCATCAGAATAAGTAGCTTGTACTGTTACCAGTACAAGCTTCAGGGTGCCCCGTTACGCCTGGTAGCACTTTGTAGTCCGTCCAAGGACCATCTTCATCATCTAACATATTCATGTTTGATGATGAAGATGACCAAAGCTTTCGCGCTACGCGTAACGGCTACTCACATTTGAGCGATGTCTAATCGGATGCGGTTGAATGGATGGGTTCAACCATGGGCATCCATGCTGTTAGCGTCATGCTAGAGGCTCTCAATAGAGATGCCCAACATGCTACTATCGCCAAGTTCATTCAAAATGAGCTTGACGCAGAACGCGAGAGAGTAGCCTTGCTTCACCAACAAGGTTCTCAACAAGCAGAGTTGTTGAGAGAACAGGGTGCTCAACAGTTTGAACTGTTGAGACAGCAGCAGGCCGCTGCTGGTGGGTCGATGCATTCGCGTCGACCCGAAACCTTGAAGATTGACATCTCCAAGTATAATGGAGTCGATGAGGACTCCTTCTTGAGATGGTTCGTCGAATTGGATGAAGCCATAAGGGCGCGTCGCATCGACGACAGGGATATGCAAGTTGCATTTGCCCAGTCAAATCTGGCAGGACGTGCCAAGACTTGGGCACTGGGGCTCAAGTTGCACGACCCATATGCGTTTGGGTCGCTAGAAGTCTTCAAGTCGCGGCTCAGACAAACGCTTGAATCGCCTAGAGCTGAGTTCAGAGCTCGAACTGAACTCTTGAAGCTCAGACAAGGTAAGCGTGATGTGCACGCTTACGCGCAACATATTCGACATCTTGCGAGTTGTATAAGTTCCAATCCGGTTGATGAACACACGTTGGTTTCGGTGTTCATGCAGGGTGTTGCGGATGGTCCCGTCAAGACTCACCTGTTCCGGCTTGAACTAGATTCACTAGAACAAGCCATATCCATTGCGGAACAGGAAGACTTCAGTCTGAGACAGGCTCGCGCCAGCTCGACATCATATCGTCAACCGAGACGATATGACAGCGGAGGTCCAGAGCCGATGGAACTCTGTTATGTAGAGAGCGAGAAGGCTCGCTCTACAGACTACAAGAAGTTGCAGAGATGCAACAGATGTCAAAAGACAGGACACTACGCTTACGAGTGTAGTGCCCCTCGTCAAGTGTCTTGCAACACTGGGCGTAGTGACCGTCCACCCATGAGAAAGGGGCAGGGACGCGGGTCCGCAGTTGGTGCAAAGACGCAACAACGGGATGGACCGTCAAAAAACGGACAGGATCAGTAGGTGCGGAGCACCCTACTGATCCAGCAACGTCAAGATAATTTGTAGGCCTCTTGATGAAGGTTGCTCCCAACACGCAAACGTTGTGCGTTGCTGCTCTAGGTAATGAGATCTCACTCATTACCTTGAAACTCGAAGTGACGAATAAGTTGTCCCTTCGAGCTCTAGTCGATTGTGGGGCGTCCAACAATTTTGTGCAACGCCAATCGCTAGAAGATGTTCACTTCAAGTTTGTTGAATGTGACACACTTCGTACGAGGATGACGGTACGTCTTGCGACAGGCGCATCCGTAACCGTCATGAAGCGTATAGTAAAGATTCACTATACGCTAGAAGATACGAAATATGACGATGACTTTATCGTATTGGATTTGGATGACAAATGTGATGTCATCCTTGGAATACCGTGGCTCAGAAGGTAAGAACCACGAGTAAACTGGCAACATCGAACAGTAACGATGCCTGCCGCTTGTTCATCAGATAGCCATCTGATGAACGTTCTGGAGCGTCCACAAGCGTGTGGATGTACTACGAGTGAGTGCGATGGCCTCACTTGTGGTACGGTCGTTAGTACGACTGCACAAAACCTTAGTGTAACAAACGGTTACACTTCGGAGCAAAGTTCCGGCGGCTGTGAGGAAACACAGGCTGCGCCGAAGGTCCACCACTCGAATAAGTCCAGTGGACCGGGACAAAGATGTATCCTTAGCGGGGAACATCTAGAAGAGAAACAATCGATCGGTCAGGTTAAGCGAAACGATAATCCTAGATCGACTGGAGAGTCTTTCGTAGAGGATCTCGCTGTGGTTGCGCAACCCCAGCTAGAGGAAGTAAAGGGAATAAGTCCCAAGATTACAAATACGGCGGAAATAAGTTCCCCGAAACCCGCGGGAATAAGTCCCCGGGAAGCCGAAGGAATAAGTCCTTCGAGGCCTGAGGGAATAAGTCCCCAGGAAATGACAGAGACATTGAATGTCATAGTCAATGATGGATCAAGTGTAGGCGTTTATACACCTGATCTGATTGCGCCTCCGAAGCTGACTTCGGAGATCACTCAGTTGCCAACGCTCGAACATAAAAGGTTCTTGCGTGATCTGCGTAGTGGCAAAGTCAAGCAGATCTGCGTACTCGTCGCTGACGACGAGTGTGTAGCCGACATAAGGTCAGCAACAGTGTTCACTGAGAACGAGAGAGTTCTCAGTAGTTCATCTATGGACGAGAGTGTCCTAGATGAAAAAACACGAGTTGAGCGATTTGACTCCCAATCGTGGGAATCGCTCAAGGCAAATCATCTCTATGAAGATTTGGTTGAATTCAAGGATGTATTTCCTGAAACTGTTCCGTGCGAATTACCGAAGGATAAAGGTATTCGATACGAGGTCGAGATTAAACCAGGCTCGAAGTACTGTGTCATGAAGCAGTAGCCACTGCCTCGTGAACAAGTACTTGCGATCGACAAGTTCTTTGCCGATCGTTTAGCTGCGGGCCATGTGAGGAATCAACTTCCCCACATAGCTCTCCGGCCTTCTGTGTGCGAAAAGCAACAGGAGGGTGGCGGATAGTGCACGCATTTAACAAGTTGAATGCTGCAACGGTACCGGCTCAGACGCCGATACCAAGGAAGGACGTAATCGTTGATGGCATGTCAAAGAGTACCATCTTTTCGTCCATGGATTTAATGGATGGCTTCTATTAAATCCCTATGCGAGAACGGGATATACCCTATACCGCAGTGAGCACGCCTAGCGGCATGCTCTGGGAATGGCTAGTAATGCCACAAGGGCTTAGTAATGCCCCTGCCACGTTCAACAAATGTGTATCACATCCGTTGAGACCAGTACGAGAATTCGCGCCGAGTTATTTCGACGAAGTATTCATCCATAGTCGGGCTATGGATGGAAATTCGGATGTTGAGGTTCACAGGTACCACGTCCGACAGGTTCATACAATCATGCGAAAGCATCAATTGTATGCAAACCTCAAGAAGTGTATATTTGCAGCAAGCGAAATACCACTTCTTGGGTGCATCGTTGGTAAGAACGGTGTACGTCCTGATCCCGAAAAGATCAAGGCGATCACCGACTGGCCTGTTCCGGTTGATGTCAAAGGTCTTCGAAAATTCCTTGGGCTAGCGGCGTATTTGCACAAGTATTCACGCAATTACGCCGAGATGACTGTGCACCTCTCTCGTTTGTTGAAAAAGAACGAGAGGTGGTTATAGAACGCTAATTGTCAGCGCTCCTTTGATGGTATCAAGCAGAGATTGATACAATTCCTAGTCCTAGCAATAGCCGATCAGGACAGGCCATTTCATGTGGTCTGTGATGCCAGCGATTTCGCAATCGGCTGCGCATTAATGCAGTACGATCTTGAAGGCGTTGAACGCGTCGTCTGCTATCAGTCGCGTCAGCTGAAACCAGCTGAGCGGAACTATCCAGTGCATGACAAGGAACTCCTTGCCATGAAGTATGCACTCGCGAAGTTCAGAGTCTATCTCTTAGGAGATAGACCCTTCTTTGTTTACACAGACCACGCGTCATTACGCACGGCAGTGAACAGCCCGCACCTTTCACAACGAATGGCGCGGTGGTTGTCATTCTTTGAAGAATACAACTTTACGGTCGAGTACAAACCAGGACGACTTAGTGTCGTCGCTGATGCACTCTCACGTCGTCCCGACTTTGAGCCAGTCGTGAAGCCCAACAGTGAGACAGTCAGTGTTGCGGTTATGACGTCCTCAGTCCCATCTACAACGTTGCATGATGATGTGAGGCGGGCCTACGCCCAAGATGGTGAGATTTTGAAGTTGTTGACACATCTCTCACAGCCATCTCGAGAATCGTTGAAACGATTGTCGTCTGCGTATCGATCTGCATCAGATCGATATACTACTCGTAACGGTTTACTGTATTATACAGCCGTTTCTGGTGACACACCACGTGTTGTCATTCCAGATGATACTGATCTGCGTTTGCGGATCATGTTCGAGTATCAAGATGCTCCTATAGGAGGACAGCGTGTCCGGGAGAAAACGTATCTCACGGTGAGTCGAGACTTTTACTGGCCCCGCCAGTATCAGTTTGTGCGAAAGTATGTTCGCGCATGCGAAGTCTGTCAACGAGTGAAGTCAAGTCCTTCACTGCGTGCACCTTTACAGCCGCTACCGGTTCCGGCAGAGTGCTGGGAATCCATCTCAATGGATTTCGTCTTCGGGTTACCCAAAGACGCACGCGGGAATACGGGTATTCTCGTATTTCTTGACAGATTCAGCAAAATGGTACACCTTGTGGCTGTACCAGAGACAATCACGGCAAGTGGCTGTGCTTGTGTCTTTATTGACACCATCTTCCGACTTCATGGGTTGCTCCGTTAACTCGCATCAGACAGAGATCCACGCTTCACTGCTGATTTCTGGCGTTTCGTGTTCAAATCACTCGGAACGCGCTTGAAGATGTCGACATTTTATTATCTAGAGTCAGATGGTCAGACGGAACGTGCCAATCGTGTCCTCGAAGAGATACTTGGAGGCTACGTACACTCCTAAAAGAGTTGGAGTGAGTTTTTGCGAATGGTAGAGTTTGCCATTAACAACTCAGCCCATGCATCCACGACACATACACCGTTTTACGTGAATGGCTTACGCCATTCGCGTGTACCCACCTTACTAGAGTGTAACTCTGGTTTAAGAGGGGGAGGGACTCGCACGAGCAAAAACCGATTTCGTTCACGCTCATCACGCTCTGACGAAGAGTTCATTGCGTTTGATGCCGATATCGATAACATCGATATCGAAGAAGATGATGCCAGTGAGAGTACGGAAGCCCTCACTGAAGAAGATGATGCCAGTGAGAGTGCGGAAGCCCTCACTGAAGAAAAGGTTGATGTTGCTGCAGTGCGCTCACAGCGCACTGAAGCTAACGAGTCATCAGATGAGTTCATACTGGCTCGTGAAACGGTAGTCCGTTTTGTGCAAGACTCCATCGCCGAAGCGGTGGACAAGCAAAAGCAAAACGCTGACAAGAATGGAAGGGCAAACACTCTTTTATTTAATAAAGGTGACTTAGTCCTACTGTCTACGGTTAATCTACCAAAGCATGTAGTGACTAACTTGGGTAGCAGTAAACTACTACCCAAGTACATCGGCCCATTTCGTGTACTGCACCGCCTAGGCAATGCATACACGATCGAGTTACCACGTAAGATGCGAACGCATCCCACGTTTTACGTTGGTCGGCTTAAGCCGTACCATCAGTACGCTGCTTCTTCCGATGAAGAACGCCCTTGCGCTCAAGCATCTCGAGGAGAGCCTTGTGCTCCCGATGGTGGGCATCGACATGGGTCTGAAGAGCAGTTATCTCATCCCGAGACCGATCAACAATCCCACGAGCTACCCTTAGCTCGTCACGAAGTGATGTCAGAGCTCTCTCGTTTTCAATCTGAGCAAAGGCAAACTCAGCTCGATGCTTCAAGACAGTGTCCGCCATTTGGAGACGCCTGTCCCGCTCGTGTTCGAGATCGCCGCGTAACCCTTGCGTTACGCGATCAAAGAAGCTCTCGGGAACACACGGATCCCCATGATCGTGAGGAGAGCGTCTTTCCTCCTCCACCACCTCCATTAGAGGACTCTCGCGGTGGCCAGCGCTATCTAGTTGAGCAGCTGTTGAACCACCGCGATGTGAACGGATGTCGGACGAGTTACCTCGTCCGGTGGCGCGGCTATCCCCCGTCCTGGGATACTTGGGAGCCCCGCTCCCAACAGATGGTTGACTTACTGGGTCTGGTTGAGCAGTACGACGCGGCACATCCTGTGCCGCAGAAGGACCGCCGGAGAAAGTCTTCCCGGCACGGTCATAAAGGGATTTCAGGTTGTCAATCCCTTCGTACATCTCACAGGTTGTCAATCCCTTCGTACATATCACTAGAGACACGTACGCGCCACCACGGGCTGGTAAGGAGGTAAGCCTCCTTATGTGCTCGTGCAGAGTTGTTCACACAACATGGGCACGAGTCTCCCCAAGAGAGGCAGGGTAATCCCTTCTCCCTTGACAGAAGATGCAGCTTGTAGCGTGCACCTATCGGGGTTCCCTTTTCAAACTTATCACGAGCTTTGATAAGTCTGTCGTTCCAAGCGTCACGGCCTACATCCTCAAGGTTATGGATGTAGGCGTTCCACGCTTGAAGTAGTGAGGGACCATCACGCTTGTAATTCCCACTGTACCATCGATGTCAAAAGAAAGCATCGATGAAGAATTCATTCTCAGCGCGATAGTTTTTCGCGCTGGGGTCAAGGTGATAGATCCTTGACGAATCGAACAATCGTGTTCGATAACGATCACTCGTCGTCGCCGACAAGTGATCCATGACAGATTTAGGAGGCATCCATGCCTTCTTCTCAGGAGCGAGACGCAAGACATTGCGGTCCCGCTCTTCCTGCGACGTGCCGACAGAAGGACTGGCACCTCGTTGCAAAGTGGTGTCCATAGGAGAACCGACACCACTGTTAGCGCCCGAGTCTCGCGACCTCGAGCGCCTTCGCTTCGGCGATGGTTCATCTGATTCGTCAGGTGAACCAAAGATGCTACGACACATAGCATCATCCATGCCACGCTTGGCAGGCGGCTTGGATTCGATCGCCGTCGATACGGATCCGTCTTCCGTATCAGGAGAGTATGAGACTCCGAGCTCATACTCTGTGAAGACATGAGTGTCTTCATGACCAGCGCCTGCATCACCAAGTGACACAGGCTGAGTCGCTTCAGCAACCGATGAGACATCAGTTGCTGTGGTTTCTGCTTCGGCGTCCGCACAGAGACGTGCGGACGCGCTCTCGGAGGCCTTGCTCGCGTATCGCATGGGCTTGTTAACCATGCGATGAACTGTTGGAAAGTGGACTCGGACCAACAAGTGCAAACCCTGTCCCAAATGATTTGGGACGAGTATATATTTAGTCAATCAGTCACTAAAGTGACCGATGGTTAAGGGGGGGGTGATGTAACGGGGTGAATCGTTACATAACAATTTATAAGAAATGTTATTACGATAAGAGTTATATTCTCAGAATATTGTCATAAGGACAAGTATTCTGTAGCACTTACGAGTAGTTCCTAATTGGTTGATATAGGCCATTATATCAACCAACGAAGACGCGCCACGACAGACGCACGCAATGAGTGGTGAGCAGATATTTGATTTACACATTTGTATTTAGACATAGTTAGATAAAGATAAACAGTGGTTTGTTAACAGCCACTAACTATGATAAATACAGTTCTACTTTTTACTTTAACGAAGTACTCGCTTCTTCTTACCGTCTTCCTCTGCACGTACCAGCGTACATGAAGTTCCGAGGCACCGCCTTATTCTGTCATCAGAATAAGTAGCTTATACTGTTACCAGTACAAGCTTCAGGGTGCCCCGTTACACGAACTATCTCGCCAGCACCGCGCACGTCGCGGTAAAGACATCTTCGACTTGACAGCTTCACATCATCATGTCTTTAGGCTCCAACAGTAAAAGAATGTGTCGCCTCGACCAGCTTTCAGGCAGCAAAGATGAACGCGCGAACGCTCTAGGCACTTCAATAAGCAGCGCGATTACAACTTGACTCTCTTTCGTCATGTCACTGCGTGCTTGGAGGCTCTACGACTGTAGTTGCATTCAACCCGCACGCAGTGACGACAAGATGTGACGTTTGTAACGAAGTGGAGAGCGACACGAGGCAAGCCCGTCACGGTCACACTCGCCGTCACTTAAGCCTTGCTGGATGCATCTTGGACAGCGTTCGTGACGCGCTGGAACATGGAGACATCGCTCCCACAACTAGTGGAGCATAAAGAGGTCGATAGAAGCCATCGTGGGATCACTGATCTGCGCAAGTTTGCGACTTGTCTTAGAACGGCGACAGGAATTGTTGCTTTATGCACTATAGTGAGGGATGTCGACGGTGTCAGGCAAGCGGAGTCGCAGAGCCTGGTCATACTCCGGGAAGCACCCCTGATTATCGGTGTATGACGCAGTGAATGCCATTTTCTGTACGGTGAAGGATAACGCAAGACACCCCTCCATCGAGGGGTGCTTGGTTGAGTCCGCGAGCAACACCCAGATAGATAAGTATACATACGTATTTCTTGAAGCACCTCCGGTCCATTCCGCAGCTGTATCTGTGGAGGAATTTAAATTGTGCCCTTCACTGACGGACGAGGGCTGGCTGCTATGATTGCGATTGCCCGCCGACCTAATATCGGGATCGTATGGAGATTTTCTACTTTCGTGCTAGTAATAGTACAACCTGACAATCGACTATTTCCACACACGTGGTTTGATAGTCCGCGAGGGTGCAGGCCTGCAGCAGGTGCCATATACTCGTTGAAAGGGCCCGACCCTTTTAAATAAAGATGTACGGATTTAAGTCTTATCTGTAAGTCGCCTGGTAAGTCGGATGCTCCTGTGTGAACGTATCTGCAAGGACCAGTATCTCATCGTGATTTTTACCAAGAGATTCTGGTCCGTCCTAGTGGAAACCAGGTGCTCCTACATCCTTGAATGGAATCCGTTTTCGATTCCGTTTGACCTTCTCCCATTCCTTCATCCTGGGTGCGAGCCAAGAGCGTATTTTCGTGCTGATGTTCGGCTGCGGACCTAAAGATTCGGGGGGGGACACCGGCGGGGCGGAAAAGACGGAGATAAAATCCACTTCGCGGAGGCGGGAGGGTGATGGAACGTCCACACTAGCCACGCCTGTAAATATCAATCGAGTTTCCGTATAAGACATTGCATGGCGAGCTTTGATTTTTTTTGCTCGTAAGGCAACGTCAATAGGGATAAGCCTGATATCTTCTGTTCCAAGCGGGGTGTGCAGAAGCTCTTAAATCACTTGTGTCTGCTCATGTCAGTGAATGTTAAAATCAGTCCACAGAAATTGCTTCTGCATGTCTTGTGCTTCGCTCTTGGCTCAGTGGGGCAACCAAAAGACGACTGATGTGAATAATAGTGCTGACAGCATAATAGAATGACACATAGAAATTTGGACAGACACACTAAAAGAGATGGTAGCTGCTGTCTTGAAGAGCTATCTGATGTTTGTATGCGTAAATTCCACTCAGAACCAACCAGGTCTCCTGTTTTTCACTTGTTTCTTTATGTATCAAGTAGTATAGCCGTGTCGAAGAACTAGGATTCCGGCGTAGTCAGCGAGTTACTTTGCTGTATTAAGCATGATGAGAACACTTTTCTACTGTTGCACCCATAGTCCAGACATTTCACCAAACTGGTGGACAATTCCATGACAGAGGGGAGTTTATCTGTATGTTAAAGAAAGACGATTGAGTCATCGACAAAGAAAGATAATGTTGCTCGTGACCAGGAATCTGGGAT